TGCCAGGCTGCGTTCTGAAAGGACAGGAGCGTTGGGCAACGTCTAAAACCACGAGTGCCTGCGACAGGGTGATGCCCTCTACCAGGCCTGTGGGTACGGGTGCAGCCACCTGGGGAAGCTTGCTGCCAAAATTGTGCCGTGTAGCATCTCCACACTGCAGCCGGTAGTTATTCCAGTAAATCCCCCAGTGTGGAAAGCTGCAAGTGCTGGGAGCAAGGTGGGGGCCGCCAGGAGCCCATGAGATCTCACCCCCCCCTTGGCTGTGCCCACAGCTGTGGTGTCACTGGTGTCCTGCAGGACCAGGGCAGAACTTGGTGGGTTCTCAGCCGCGGGTGGTTACCTGCCGCCTGGAAAACAGGCTGTGCTGTAAATTTTGTGGCTGCAAAGGCACTGGGAGAAAAGGAGTTAATGGAAAGAAAAATGCCCGAGCCAGGAGTACGGATGCAGTGGGAATTAAGGCCATTCTGTTAAATCTTCCCCTCTCGCTTGAAAATTTAATTTCTGTCCTGCCAAGGGAGATCCGCCCGGCCTTTTAAATCCGTGAGCTGTAAAAATTGCTGTTGCTCAGGGCGGAGATTGCTGATTCCCAGCAGCCCTGCTGGGTTCTGATGGACTAATCAGCTGGGAAGTGGTGTGAGTTTAACCTTTCCGGTCTCCTCGCTCAAATCCTAACGTTTGAAATTCGGCGGGATGTTTGTGGTCGGATATTTCTGCACGCCGTCGCGGTGAGCCCCTGGGGTGGGCACGGCGGTGGTGGTGGTGGTGACCGTGCCGTGGTTTTCAGCTTGGCTCCACGGCCATCGGGATCCAGACCTCGGAGGGCGTCTGCCTGGCCGTGGAGAAGAGGATCACCTCCCCGCTCATGGAGCCCAGCAGCATCGAGAAGATTGTGGAAATCGATTCCCACATAGGTAAGGAGGAGAGTGCTCTGAAGTGGCCCTCGAGTTGTGGTCGTGTTTATACCTGACCAGACTGTCCCCTGGGATTGCCAGGAGCAGCGTTTAACCTTCCCTGCCGGCAGCTCCGCCGAGCCCAGTGGGAACGCTCATTCCTCCTGGTGAACACCAGCTCCCAGGCACTGGTTTTCCAGGCTCCAGGCCAGCAGGACATAGTTCCAGGAGCAGGAAGAGGCAGCTGAAGCACCCCCCGCCCTGCTCCATGACCTCCCTGGTGAAAGCTCATCCCAAATTTAGCTCTGGGAGGGCAGGGAATTGCTGCAAAAGGCTTGAGTGCAGGCCGGTTTCTCCCGGAGTGCTGATGTCAGCCCGAACCCCCGCGTGCAGCAGGGCCCGCCACGGGCTCGTCACCGAGTGCATCGCCTTGAAAAGCAAGAGGCCTCCAAAATACCCCCGTTGCCGATGCCGTGGGGCAGGGAAGGAGCTCTTGAAGAGCCTCGTTTCTGCTTGCCACGCAGCCCCTCTTTTCCTGGAGCAGGATCTGTGCCAGAGGCTCCTGCTGCATCGTCCCCCAGCTGTGGGTTAGCCAGCCCTCCCCCTGGGCTTGGAAGGCCTCAAATGTGACTCCTTTAACCAGTTCAGATTTAGAGTGGGTGGACTGGGAGAACTCGGTTATGCACCTGCCCTTCAACTGGGTGTCCAGCCTTGTTCTTGGGCAGATCCCTTTGGATCCCAGGCGGCTCTTGGGCAGATCCCTTTGGATCCCAGGCGGCTCTTGGGCAGATCCCTTTGGATCCCAGGCGGCTCTTGGGCAGATCCCTTTGGATCCCTTGCTCTCAGGCAAATCCGTTTGGATCCCATGCCCTTGGGCAGATCCCTTTGGATCCCACCCTCGTTCCTCTCTGGCGTGCTGCGGCGGCACTGC